AATTGAACCCATTTATTGCGAAGTACTGGGGGGTCTATAAGCCCAGCTATTCATAGTACAACAAGCTTTGCTGGTAACAGATGCCACGATTTAGGGCCCGGGAATCTGAGTACAATTTGCAGCAGCTTGCGACTAAAATGTCTAGCGCCATCACGTGACCAAATATAACTGTTTCTTTGATCTAGTCATCCGTGTTGTCCACAAAACCCGGAATGTTGGAAATTACGTTAGAACGGAGACGTTCACCCAAACGAACAGGGAACATAGATTCATGAATGTACGGGCATGATGTAATAATAATAATAATCATCATCGATCCAAGAAAAACAAAAGTATCAGCAATGAATTATATAGCCTTGTAGATTGGCCTCCTTCCGCTGATCATTCGATGGTGCGATAATCGATAAGAATCTAACAAGACTTAAAGAAAATAATGCAGGATAAATGCGAGATGATCACAAAATTGCACGATAAACAATGAAATACTACTGCAATTGAGTATGAGAAAGACCTAGTAATTGTTCTTTCTCGAGCTGTTTTGTATCCTTGAATATTCTCAAAGCGTCTATTACATTTGTTTGGAGTTTTTAAATACTTTCCTTCAGTTATGTTTATGCAAATTGGGTCCCAGATTTCCCGTATAAATAACGAACAGAACGTGATGTCTATAAAGAGTGTTCTTAGAGAACCCCTCTCCCTCCCCCTGTGTATTCGAGTTCAAAAAGTATGGGTATACTCCTACAACAGTGTTTCTACATTATATTGTCTTAAACAGGAGGTCCTCATTATTTAATTTAACAACTATACATCTATCACGATAGAAACACTACTAGTATATTCTTTACTGTGCAAAATAAATGAAATAGCATTTACAGGCCATATTTCACCACAGGTGGCGCTCTTCACTTTCCTCTGACTCAAGTAATATAAGAACGGTTGTCTCAGCAGGCACAAGTTTTATGATTCTCTTCATTGACGAGATTGGGTTTCTTAGTTTATTTTTTTTAATTGAGCCCTGAAACGGCAGTGTATGAAGATTGTTCACCGTGTTATATATGCGAATACGAAATACTAAAAGCAAATTACTTGAGTTTACAACGCCACGAATCAGTCACTGAATTGGGAACTTATTTTTAATCCAACTAATTCAACTGTAAGATCGATAACCCAGATTGCAACTTTAATATTTTAATATTATTAATTACGAGAGTTTTTAGAGGTTTTTTGAGACAGGGCAACCATGTGACGCTTGTCAAATACAGTCTTATACTGAGTAATATAACAACATAGTCTGAGAAAATGTTAATATATATGCGATATCGATTGTATTTTATTTTATTTTACGAACTGGGAGAAATTTCTTTAATAAATGGCCAAAAAATATGTAACCATACGGTCTCTATTATATACGCACTTCTGTACTTTACATCATGATATCCTCCTGATAGATTGAGATTACAAATACAAAACAGTATTAACAAATATACACGATATTTAATCAACACGAATAATAAATACATTGAATATTTATATGTTATAGTATGAGTAAATGTATCAGAAACTAAAATATAGAAACAAAAGAAGCAATATACCAGTACCATGTTTATCTTTTACGCTTATAAAATTGTATTCTCTGCATCCAACCATTCATACTCGTGACAGACCAATAACTTGACAATTGTTACATCATTAATACAGACATGCACATTCTTCCAAAACATTCGGCGAAACACTCCTATAAATATGACATAAGTACATTTTTTTTAATTGTGTAGATATAGATAAACGATGAAATAAGGAAACCGACACACATACACACAGGAATAGTCATTTTTAGTGAATCGCAAAAACAATGCACATACATGCCTCTATTCAAAACACACAAACTA